CAGCCAACCACCGATGGGATCCGAACCTGGGACACTTCATTAGGGGGCGAGTCAAGAGAGAAAGGCGAAAGAAATTATATCCACCTGAGTAACTTGTGTTCTAATGGTCGGATTTTCATGACCTGAAGGCCAATAATAATGGTTTAAAATGTGGAGTTCAAGTATGCTTATTAATTAGTACTAATGAATTAGTTTGCTAAATCAGACACAAAAACGCATTTTCTCCTAATTAACATATAATTTTTTTATGGAGTTGGATTCTTGACTATCCTAAGGGAAAAATCTCGAAAATATGGTCTCATCAGTTTAATAGAAAGTTTGGTTGACCTTTTAATGTTATTTTTATTTTTCATATGTTTTACATAAATTTGAAACTTTTTAAATAAACTGAAAATTTATTGGATCACTTAATAAGACTCATTTATCCAAATATAATTTGTAGACAACAATGATTTTTAATAATTATTTAGAAATATTTACAATTTAATTTGACAATAACCGAAAAAATATGAATAGTAAAATATACAAGTTTTTACATTAGTTTAAACTTAACATAATTTTTAATGACAACATGTATGATTTGAGTGAAATTGGTTGAATAATTCACATATAAAACTTTAAAAAAAGTTGTACTTTGAAATGTTCAATCTATGATAAACTATTTAACTGATTTCGTTAAATTTTGAATTTTATTACTTGAAATAAAAACTACAGTTGTAACAATTTGCATATCTTACAATTCAGATTTTTTTCACCCACTGTTGAATTAAATAATGAAATATTATTAAAATTATTTTTTGCATAGTTTAACTGCCGATTCAATTTTGAGTTTACGACTATCAATGTTCAACCCCATAGCCTCGTAATTTTGAACCCAATCCAGATGACAAGACAACTCCTGGAATAAGTATTGGAAAAAATAAGCCTTCTTGGAGTCCTATTTGATGAAACTATCCGGCATTTGCGTTACATGTATAGGAAAACCATGAAAATTTTCCACGGTCAGCCTGACGGTAAAGGCTTCTAACCCATGATCTAACCAGGATACTTCAAGTCAGCATTGTCGTTTGAGCGAAATTCGTATTGACCAGCCATTGCTCTGATTCCAACACTGGTTAAATCATTGGCGGAAGTTCCATCCACTGAGTCACCAAGGCTCAGTACCCTATGATTTACAAGTTTTATAATTAAGAGCAAAAAAATTTAATTCGTTTATATATATTAAAAAAAACTTCATAGTCTATAAAGACTATATTCGCTCAATTTCGGACAACCTTCATATCTTGAAGGTAATAAATTCAAATCTGTCTTTTACAAAAAGTGTTTATTCAAAGAAATATTAGTATCTGATTTTATAACTAAATTAATGTTAGCACTAATTTAAACGCATATTTGAGATCACTTTTTCAAACTATCAAGATTAGTACTAAGCTTGAGAAAATCTGATTATGGGAAAGAAAGTTATTCGGAGTGACTGCTTTTTGCTCATTGTTTGTGCAGTGTAAGATTAATTTACTAACAATAATTTTTTTTGGACAGGGGCAAATCTGTTTTTTTTTATATTTTAAATCCATTTAAGAATAGCACTAAATTTACTAAAGCACTTTTTTAAAAATATATTACATAAAAATTGTAATAAAAATAATTTTTTGATTTATATTTAAGATCTTTTAAAGTTCTTGTTAAATTACTCTGAATTGATAAAATACATGCTTAAATGAAATAAATTAAATATTTTTAAAATCATCATAATGAAGTGTTATGGGAAAAATATTGAAGAAAAACACAGTAAAATATCAAATAAAATTCAAATGGCTAACCTCTTTGTTGCAGAGCTCTTCAGCTTTTACTTTACTTTAACATTCCAGAGCAATCCAATAACCATGCTGATGAATAAAGAAAGCTCATCTTTATCCTCGTATGCTTTTTGGGGCATAATAATTAATCTTAATATTAGTTGATATTTAGTTAACTTTTAAAAGCTTTCCTTAGAAATGCAAAACAATTTGAAGTAAAATGGAATATTTCATTATAATGGTTTATTTTTCGCCTGCGCCTGAATTTTTTCGTCCAATTTCATTGTTCGTCTGATTTTATTATTAGTCTTTATTTATGTTTTGAGTTACTTTTGTTTTCGTTTGCGTTTTACTTTCTACAATACCACGATTAGTAGATTTATGTAAAAGTGGAATAACACAAATATATAAATTACAAGAAAAAATTTGCCAATAAGAAATATTTATGTAAAAATTAATCATTGTAAAATTTATAAAGATATAGATTCGCACAAAAGGAAGAGATTTGGCGCGCTTAGTAAAATAGGTTTGGAATTCATTTCTAAAATCTTTGTATTTAACCCTTTATAAAGGCGAGGGAAGTATACTTCCCACCAAATTTATTCATTTTTAAATGTCGATGGAAAAATAATTTCCTGCCGTGTAGATATGAAGAGTAACCGACAACATCTAAAAAAGACATCATCTGAAAAATTCAAGCATTAATATTCTAATTTTAACGCAGAAAAGCTTGTTCTAATGATATCTGCACTACATAGCAACATAATAACAAGTACAAGTAAATTTAATTGTTGTTCAATATAATTAATGTTAAAACTAGGCAATTTACGGAATATTTAATTATAATGATATATTTTTCGTCTGCGTTTAATCTCTTTCGTCTGATTTTAATATTCGTCTTTATTGCATTGCTAGTTATGTTTTTGAGTTAATTTTATTTTCGTTTGCGTTTTACTTTTTACAATACAATTATGGAAAAATTGAAATAACACAAATGTATAACTTACACGAAAAAAACATTAAATAAAAAATATTTATGTAAAAATCGATCAATTGTAAAAATAGATACATTTTCGCAAAAAAAGGAAAGAAGAAAATAGAAAGATATTAGGAGCGGAAAGTAAAATAAGCCAGGAATTTATTTCTAAAATGTCTGTATTTAACCTTTTTAAAGGGTGTGGGAAGTATACTTCCCCCTGAATTTATTCATTTTCAAATGTCAATTGGAAGCCAATTTAAAGTTGATAATACTAACGATTGACAATGTTCGAAAAAGCACGTTACGTCGCACTAGAGCTGCACAATGGGCTATTGACGACGGACTGGGAAACATCCCTGAGGATGATCCGAAGACATGCCCTCACAATTTTGATCCTCTGCAGCGGGGATCCCGCTTCGGTAACCCGACAACCTGCCCACGAAGTCGAGCACTTTACCGTAGAACCAGTTTAACGAGGACCCATACCGCACACCCTCGGTCCTACGCTGACTGATCCAAGTAGTCACCCTTCCGCGCACGGACCGCAGCCAGTGATGCTTGACTTCGGTGATCTGCTGGGAACCATGTCTTAATGATCAGTCCACTGCGGGACCACAATATAGAGAAGGACAGAATGAAAATACATCCAAGGTAATAACGGACAACGGGATTCGAACCCGCTACCTCTTTGATAACAAAGCCAAACACAGCTTTGCTCAAAGGTATGTGGTGTTGTTGGCTGCTGATGAGTTACAAAACTTTTTATTACTATATTTAATTTATATATATATGTATAAAATATAAAAATAGGTTAACAATATACTGGAAAGCAACACAAGAGATAGAGAATGGCAGGTGAATGAAAAAATCCAGCTTGAGGAGTGGATTGGTAGGGAGTAAGAAGTAAGTACACAATTATTAAACTAAGACTCTATATTTGAACTTATAATCTCCTAAACTTTGGTCTAGTAATCGGAACAACATATTGCTCGCTAAAATATTAAATACGATAGAAATAAACTTCATTAGAGCACCAATAATTTATACTTTTTTTATAGTCAAAATCTTGGTCTTGGTTCAGTTCGTATTCTTCAGCTTTAACGAAGTTGTTGTTGTTGTTGTTCATTTACGTCGCACTAGAGCTGCACAATGGGCTATTAGCGACGGTCTGGGAAGCATCCCTGAGGATAATCCGAAGACATGCCATCACAATTTTGATCCTCTGCGGAGGGGATGGCACCCCCGCTTCGGTAGCCCGACGACCTGCACGCGAAGTCGAGCACTTTACGGTAGAACAGTTTAACGAGGACCAATACCGCACACCCTCGGTCCCTACGCAGGCTGATCCAAGTGGTCACCCACCTTTTTAGATAAATTTATGATGATTGCTTGACTTC